CAAAGGGTTACTGTCATCTACAGGTAAAACACTACATCAGCCTTTCAGGGTGATGAGGGTGCCCAGCATTACTGATCAAAGGGTTACTGTCATCTACAGGTAAAACACTACATCAGCCTTTCAGGGTGATGAGGGTGCCCAGCATTACTGATCAAAGGGTTACTGTCATCTACAGGTAAAACACTACATCAGCCTTTATAGTGACTGAAGGTGGCCACCAATACTACTCAAATACCTTCTTTCGAAAGATCGGCTTAGTCTGTCCACCATATCCACTCTGCTTCCGGTCGTATCTCCTCTTACCTGTGGGAAAACAAAGGCAGTCATTGCCAGTGTATTTTTACCCCCTCCCCTGCTAAACTCTGGTCCCAGATGTGACCTAACTCACCCTGGGCATACAGGGAGTCTTTCCCCTTCTTGTACTGCGTCACTTTATGGGGCTGGTGTTTCCTGCACTTTTTGCAATAAGTCCTGCGGGTCTTCGGCACGTTCACCTAAAAATGAAAGAAATCTAGTTTTTTGTACAATATTAACCACTTAACCCTCTCCAGAATGTCAGTCTTAATCGGATTATAGTCGACAGTTTGAACTAATTTATTAACTATCCACAAAGTGTGACAATAAAACATCCATTGCTGTGTAACACGAAGCAGGGCGAACTACATTTGGTGTGCAGATGCAGGAGGTGCACACAGCCTTGCACAGACCTTTATTGTAAACTGGGCATTTTATCCCGAATTGCAGTCACGTGAACAAACTGACACCCAGTAAACCATCTTACGTTGCTGCAAAAAAATATAACTGCGAATTTTTTTTACAATATTACGTTCATGACACCAACCTTTAATATAAATTAAACGGGCGCTGCTTGTGCCATGTGTACGCTAGCGAGTCAGTGCTGCATAAGTACATGAAGATAAGTCTACTGTAGGCGGCCATTTTTGGCCGCTATACCAATCAGAGTAATATGGGAATACTTTTATAAATGCCAGAACATTTTGAAACCGTCTTAATCAATAACAGCACGGGGGATGTATCTTATGGTATTACTAAACAAAACAAGCTACTTCATGGAGCCAAAAGTCACTTTACACTTAAAGGATGGCATTAGATTAGTAATTCGGATGTTTCAGACTATAAGCTCACCATGGTTGCGAAGCCTTAGCAGAAGCGAAAGAGGAAGTACATTACCGGAAACAGTATAAATAGCCCTAACGCTATTTTGATTGGCGAACTATCAAAACGCCCCCCTCTGGCCTGGAGGAATTAATAACAAAAAATAATCCGGGGGTGTATTTTGTATATACCTTTTAAGTTTCTAAAAAGAAAAAAAAAGTTTAGCATGAACTGTCGCTTTTCTTTTTAAAGTTATATCTCAGATTTATAACTAATATAAACACCACGTGCTACATACTGGGAAAGATGCAGAAATGTGCTTTTTGTCTTTTATATTGGCTCAAAACGTCTAATATGGTATATCGTAAATTATAAAATCATAAAACGAATGAACAGGCCCATGCTATAAGCTTACTCGTATGCAGTTCCTGACATCAATTCAGACACAAGGTAACCGATAAGAAAATAACCAGGAAGCAAAAAAGAGGAAATGAAAGCCACTTTTGTGTGTGGTGGGTGCTGCTTGGTGTCCGTGTCCAGCACCGGCAAAGAGCAGACGGGCTAGCGACGCCGCCGCCGCCCCCTGGTGCTTCGCCACAGCGCTCACCGTTTCTCGTCCGCTCTGACTGTGACGAGTCCCGGGGGTAAGTGTGATGGAGTGAGAAGTGTCCTGGGGATTATGCTGTGAACAGTCCCCACTGTCTGGGGTCGGGCAAGGGGTATGGGGGTGATTAATGGTACTTAATGGTACTGGTATCTGAATAGGCCTATAGGCAGTACAACCAAGTATATAAAAATTGGATTGCATCAGTCTGACAGACCTGAAGTTATTTATAACTAATTCATACTTAATACCAGCAATAGTATTTAACTAATACAATAATAATACTATATAGTATTTAACAGGTGACAAGACTGGTCTGCTCGATGTTATTTAGATGAGAAGGCTAGTCCGTGGTCCATAAAATTTTTGGGTGATTTTCTGATGGGGAGTCTTTCGTCAAATACTGACCAGTTGTTCTCTGCATGATCATATTAAGTCAGCAAGGTCTCTTGAGGGCAAAGAGCGCAGGAATTGTCGGACAGAGGCAGTCATCGCCAACGTCTTCAACTGACTGCTTCAGTAGGGCACAGTTTGAGGAAAAACACTGCATACCCAGAAAGAAAGAAACTTTCCTGAAGATAATTGGTAGAAGAGAAACCAGCAGGAGAAAGTTGCAATGGAGGGGGAGAATTTAAACCCAACCTTGAATTTATTGCACTGACCCCCCCCCCAGAGCTGAACTTATTTCAGAGTCATTTTAGTAACAGATCGATGGACACTGAAGTAATCTGGGTAGCTGGGGGAGGACTTATCTGACCAACATGATCTAAAACATTGCAGCCAATTTTGAGTGAAAGGTTCCCTTCAGGCAGCTAGCACACTGCAGCCTGGCTGAGGGGCGCTTGCTTTGTTGTGTGGCTGCACAGAGCAGTGGGTGCAATTTTCTTAGTGTTTTGTGGCGTTTTTTGCCGTCTGCCTGTCAGGCACTGTGAAATCATGAAACTATGTTTCCAGTCTTCAAAAGCTGCAAATTCTCAACTTGTTTTGATGATCTACTGATTTAGCAAATGATAAACACAAATACTGTGACTATGTTGTTTTGCAGTATTTGGCTTCTTGCCACTACCTGTTCATTTCGGCGGCTGTCAGACATCTTGTGTGCTTCTAACTGCAACTGTGGCTTGTGCTTTTCATACAAAAAAAAAGCTATTTTGAGAGAATAGTCCCTAGTATGCAAATACATCCACATCTCATGCGTCCTCTGATCGTGGACACGGCTGTGAGAGCACTGGAGCCTAACCCAGGCATTGTAGGGTGTACACACAGTGTAGATCAGATTCAAACCTTAGAAATGTGTGAATATGGGCAGCACCAGCATATTTTGTAGAAGAGTGCTTCAGAGGAGCTAATGCATTTGGACAGGCTGCTTTTTGGTGAGTAATAGTAAATGTACTATAATGTACTATTGCATAAAGGCCACATTTTACGGTAGTATAGTCAGTCAATCATTTCATTTACCTTAATAAGGAGCAGAATCCACCTGTTACTGCAAATGAGTCTGTTATTTGATTGGCCTTTTGCTGGCAAAGATACAGGGCATTGGCCCATTTTGAAAGCGCTGTAAAACGGTTGGGTATTGCCCGCTGACCTTGCAAGAGGAGCACACGTCTCTTCGTGTGACATGGCGTGTAAACCAGGCACCACAGAATTTTTGCATTTTTGAAAAATACATTTCCACAGTAGCCTACTTATTTAAATTATTTTGGTGATGTCACATTTGCAGGGATGTTACTGGGGGTGCTCAGCAGTTTCCAGTGAGTGCCTTAGCCCCCTCCCCCCAGTGCCCCCCTGCCGCTGCCCCTGTGTGTGAACCAGGGGATGTACATTGCTTATTCACACTTGGGGAGGGGGTACATTTCCCAAAAGCATAATCACTAACAGTGTTAGTAACTTACATACTAGAACCATATAACTGAATGGCCCCAACTATGTAAGTTGCTAATGGTAAACTACACAAGGGTTTGTTTTTTTAACAGGAAAGCTACATCAACACCTGCCTGTCACACCAAGGGCACAAAAAATGAGAAAGCCAACTTCCTGCATGACTGCCAGCCATCTCCAGCAGTCTCTCCCACCATTGTCGCTATTACCGCCACTTTACTATAAGCAGAAATGTGCTTTTTACTGTCCCCTAACAATGGGTCCGTTTGGTGTCCTAAAGTCAATGACTAGTGTCTTCCTATGATGCACAGGAAAATGAGAGGACATTTTAGAGACGGCAAGCAAACCTTTGGTAACATGTCTGGTGAAGGTGTCAGTGAACAAGCACAAGACCAGGAAATGACTGTGGAGGTTAAAAAGTAAGCTTGCGTGTAACTACTCTATCAAAAGATGTGCAGTGAGCTGCAATACGTGCCCTATCAGTGAAGGAAAGGTAGGCTTGGTTTAATTGCTCAGCTGAACAGATATCTTAAATTAAATTTATAATGAGGTTTCTTAGGTTTCTATTTAATTTGTTAACCTTAAAAAGACCGATTTATGGTTTCAAACCGGGAGCTGAATATTTGTTTAAAATGTTGCCCAGTGACTGTAGCTGAATGCCTCCTTGATTGGTTCTTTCTAAGAAAAGTATGTAGCCAAATCCATCACAGTAAAACTTGTCTAAACTACTAGCATTTTCTTTTCGACTGATTTCAGAGTATTGGACCAGATGGTTTGCCCCCCCCCCCCCCAAACAGCTAATTGTGGTTTGGGATTATGGTGAATATTGTAACGATCGCTAACTATATGACAGGAAGAGTGTGACCAATATGACAGAAACGTTGGAGTACTTTTACTCACTTCGCTTCGCATGCCTGAGTTTGCATTGTTTTCAGTAAGACTGGTCAGGTTTCATATGGAAGTAGTGAATAACAGGCTGTAACTTCATTGATTTGCATATTTACATTTACCGCGTGAGGGCAGATCCCTTCCCATTATCCGAAGTAAAAAGGAAAAAGGCAGATAGGCTGGAATAGCAGGTGCCTGTAGACGCTGGGGAGCAGGAGCTGCCTCTTGGCAATCAGACAATCGGGTAATGTCGATAGATTATTTACATGTGAAGTTCAATATAAGGCTAATGATTGATGGTGAGATCTGTAAACTTTTGGAGTTTATTGGGAATGATTATGTACAAGGCAGGCATGACTGTAAGCGCAGCGCTCCTTGTCTGTGTGCAAAGCCTACGTGCGAAGGCGCTGTCGCTGGGGCGGGTGTGAATGGTCACACCTTGTCCAGCGGTTCCCTGGCAGCAGTGGTGTTACTTTCAGTCGAGAATAGAGAAATGCACATCGTACGGCGCATGCTGGATCTGATGTTTCCTGCAACCCGATACATCGATCTCGGATAACTAGAATAATTTTCATGATTTCCAATTTTGCTTTCACTTTTTTTGTTTTTTTGCATACAGAAAAGCTTTACCGAAGTTCCTCAGGTAAAGTACTTCCCCATTTCGTGAGTACTTCCTCTGTTGTTCATGATCCTGGTCGGAATTCTTGCAGGTTTCTGTGATATAGGGGTTTCCATCCTTTTGATGTCCGCGAGGGGATTAAGCGTTACTACTTTTTTCCCAAATGTGCACAGAATGTGTGAACGTGAGGGGTCGTAAAAAGTAATGTATGTGTGTATTATGCTTATATTACATAGTGAGTACCACATGTTCCCTACAATGTAATAAAAACGTATTTTGACAGTGTGGGGACCATTTTCAGGTCCTCACAAACATCTGAGAATGCAACCAAAAAACTAAAAATGCCAAAAGTCTCGTATTTTGTTTGGTTACTTATCATTAAGGTTGGCCTGGGTAGAGGTTAAGGGTCGACATTTTGAGATTCCAGTTTTCCCCATATAAATGAATGGATAGTCCCCACAAAGATATAATTACAAACCTGTGTGATAGTGTATTACTGTATACTCTAATGTTATATACAGCTCTACATTTTTAAATCCTGGATTTATCCTGGTTCTGAGTGGCACGGTGCTTTCAGGCTCTAAGTTTCTAAGACAGCAGTACACTAGAACAGCGTGAAGCAGGAGCTACTGGGAATGACCAGAAACCAGCCAGTTAGAGGACAGAAGCAACTTTCTAATGCCAGAGATGACCGTCAGCTTAACCGGCGGTGCCTCATGAATTAGAGGATGACCTCAAATTACTTTCTAAAAGAATAGGAAACATTAAGTGGCGTGAAGTGCACTGCTAGGACAGTTCATAACAGGCATTTTACACGGGTTCATACCCATAAATTGAGAAATGAGTGAAACTGAAAATTTTGCTGCGGTGCCTTAATTTTTTGCAGAGCTGTGTGTACTGATATGATAAGAATTTGACATTGAGAAATGGCAGGGTGTATATTTGGACTTCCGGATGCTACGAGTTTCAGAGGGTTCAAACCAGGCCATCTTCAGATCCATAAATTTCTGCTACCAAGCAGTGCCAGCCAACCCATTAGGAGATGTTGGTCCCCAGCTAGGACACCATCTTCCAAGGGGTTGTGGACTTGGTGGGGGCTCAGGAGGTGCAGCTTGCCTAGGGCGCCACATGGGCTTGTCCAGTCACAACTCCAGTATGTGGATCAGACTTGTATACAGTTATCAGGACTGATTCCCATATTCTTTGTGTCCAGGTAAGGGGACAGAACTGACTCCACAATGGGGGACATCATCCTAGAGGACTTTTTCATTAAACGTTCTCAGCAGAAGAAGAAAACCTCTCCACTGAACTACAAGGAAAGGTTTTTCACCCTGAAGCAGGGGAAGCTCTCCTACTACGACTATGATTTGGAGAAAGGGGTATGTGCACAGGAATTGGGTACTGGGGAGTTAAGAATACTGCACCATACTTAGATCACTGTTGAGCTTCATATTGAATCATAGGTCGGGAAAGCCTATATGACTCGGGATTGCCAGGTGTGGACAGGGGCCTTGAAGCATGCCAGCACTTTGGTGGGGAGGGGCAGCCTAGGGTGAGCTTTTCTCAGGGAGTGAAAGATGTTTACCCTTGGCTCTAGCAAACCTTAATTCATGGAACTGGTGCACGCGAGTAATGTTATTCTAAGTCAAATAGCTTTGTGTTGATGATTTAAAAAATTGTATATACATGTCCTACTTCTGTTCACACACATAGAAGAAGAAAAGTTTGAAGGGATCTGTGGACCTGGAGAAGGTCAAGTGTGTGGAGAATGTGGAGCCGGAACTGAATGCCCCCCCAGAAAGGACCTACCCATTCCAGGTGGGCTGACCCAGGCGCATCTCCCTACCCAGAAGGACTCCTCACACTGCAGACAGCTCAGCTTTTATCACACTTAGTACAGTGAGACAGGTGCACCCCACTGCCCAGGAGGACTCCTCACACTGCAGACAGCTCAGGTTTTATCACACTTAGTACAGTGAGACAAATGCACATCATTTCCCAGGAGGACTCCTCACACTGCAGACAGCTCAGTTTTTATCACACTTAGTACAGTGAGCCAGGTGCACATCATTGCCCAGGAGGACTCCTCACACTGCAGGCAGCTCAGCTTTTATCACACTTAGTACAGTGAGACAAATGCACATCACTGCCCAGGAGGACTCCTCACACTGCAGGCAGCTCAGGTCTGTGATGATGACACATAAGAGCTTGAACCTGATGATCCTTTTCACAGCCTCATCGCCTCTGCCTTCAGTCCTTATTGTCCGAGTGAACCAGAGTGGAATGGGCTACCAGTGATATCACATCCTCTGTAGATGGTTATAACTGGTTACTTTGTTTATCTTGGAGACCTGAATGTTTTTAAAATAGGTGGGACTTTCTCAGGCAGAGATTCAATATGTCCATGAAAATGCCAGAAAGCTTTCAGAACGTCTGTTCTCTCATGTCTCCTTGGTTACAGGGAAGCAGAAAGTAAACTGGGGATTGTCACGTAATCCATGGTTTGGAAGCATGCAGGCCTTTCATGGAATTCTGTGGGCTGAGCAACTGTACATTTACTTAGCACTTTCATCCAAAGCCCATCTAACCTGGGAAGTGAACCAGCAACCTTCCAAACACAGGCACAGCATTCTAACCTCCTGGGCACCACACTGAACTTCTCCATGCCATTAGGGTTCAAACCTGTGTGGGGAAAACCCAGTGGGGTTCAAGTTTAATGCCTTAACCTCTCACACAGCCCCCTACCTTAAATAACTGATAAAAAAACATTTAACAATATCAGTAAAGTATCGCAAACAGATAATAAAGTCCAGCAGTGTGGCACTGACGCCGGCAGGGATATTTAAAGGGAAGCGAAAGGTGTGTTTAATATTCATCGGGACCTACAGGCCCAGGGCTGAACTCACTGTGGCATCCAGGTCCGAAACCATATTTGGTCTGACAACAGGAAGTGCACCCTTCCTGTAATACTTGCCTTCTGCCTGACAAGCTCTGTCATCTCGGGCGGCAGAGAACTGGGCATTGGGTTAGAGGCGCCGTGCAGTGTCTGAATTCGGAGGTAACGCAGTGCTCTATATATACGCTGATTAGGGGGGACCTAATGTGGGTAGTTTATCTCCGTTGCTTTGTGAAAAAATATCATAGAAAATCTATTTGGATGAAATGGTTAAATCAACAAACGAATGGTAGGCTCATTTAAGGCTCAGATATAAAATTATGTTTTTATTGTAAGTGGAAGAAGATAGTGTAGTGTGTGCTGTTAGTTCACATGGTGAGAAGAATCCATTCCTCCGTTCTGGACAAGGTGGCAGGGAGCTGTGGAACCTCACTGCAGCAAACCCTCACTGGGGACACACTATGGGTAAGCCTTGCTTCACTGTGTGTCTTTGGACATGGGAGGAAACACACTTAGAACACGTGACCTTCACACACACAAAGCAGAGGGATTTGAACCCCCACTCCTTGAGGGGGGGGGGGGGTAATAGTGCTACCCACTGTGCCACCATGCAACCCCAACCTAAAAGAAACAGGAAATGAACATTTACCCCTCCACGACAGATCATTTATGATGAAGGGCCGCTGTATATCTTTGCCAAGACGGAAGAAATTCGCAGGCAGTGGATACATGTACTGAAGCAAGGTCAGTGAAGCCAAGTGGTCAGTGATGATCGCCTGGGCGTGGCAGAAAGAAGCCCAGCCTTTCCCGTGCTCTAATGCCCCCCCCCCCCTTTTCCCATGCCTGTCTCACACAAGAGGTGAAGTACAATAAGGACCTGCTGCCCAAGTATCACCCCTGCTTCTGGGTGGACGGTGTCTGGCTGTGCTGTCATCAGGAGGTCAAGCAGGCCATGGGCTGTATGGTGCTGGAGACCCGCAGCACCGGTCAGTGCTTCTCAGATCTTCTGCAGAGGCTCACGCTCCACCCCTATCCTGCCCCGTTTCTGTGTATGTTTATATTGACGTTTGTTTCTATTAGTTACATAAACTCCTCTTACTCATTGGCTGAATTTCACATCACCTTCCCCAACATAAAAGGAACAAAGAAACCCAAGCAGAACCAAGCAGATGTTATCAGGCTGAAGACCACCTCACTGGCTCCAGAAGCTTTTCTATTTTTTTGTGATAAAATTTATAACACACTTAAAATATTTTCAAAATACAGCATTTTATCTAGGAAATCTTTCAATGTGCTGAATTAAAATCTATACAGATTTCTAGTTACATCACTGTATTTGATAGTGTATAATGTTTGTTTCAGCCTTCATAACATTTTATGTAATAAAGACTAGTCAAAAGACTAAAATTTACAGACTTAGAATCAACGTACTGTGTAATAAATATGATTGAGATAAAATAAGCTGCTAAACCATAAATTTTCACAGCGCTAGTGGGAGCCATTTTAAAATGGGCAGGTTGAGCATGGTGCCCATGAGGCGGTGTGATGCTGATGTGGTTCTCCCTCTCTTTCTGTGAAGGATTCTTAGCGCAGCATTGTCCCTCTCTTTCTGTGAAGGATTGTGAGCCCAACATTCTCTTTCTCTCCTTCTCTTTCTGTGATGGATTATCAGCACAGCATTCTCTCTCTCTCTCTCTCTCTCTCTCCTTCTGTGAAGGATTCTCAGCCCAGTATTCTCTTTCTCTCCCTCTCTTTCTGTAAAGGATTCTCAGCCCAGGTTTCACAGCGTAAGTCCAGGAAACCGCTCCCTCCAACTCCAGACCAGGTTGGTCTCATTATATTTGAACCTTGAAAAACACCCTTGGATCAGTCCCCTGGTCACCTGACATCCCATCCCTCGCCTTCTCCCTGTCACACAGGAGAAGAATTCAAGGCCATTGCCCCTCCAGCCGTTGCCCCCAGAGCCCCCTCAGCCTGCCACGTCTTTGGAAATGAAGGTCATTGCAGAGTATGATTATGTACCTCAGAGCGAACAGGACCTGGAGCTGAAGAGAGGAGAAGAGTACACTGTCTTGGCGAAGGACAGTGCCAACTGGTGGAAGGCCAAGGATAGATACGGGTGGGTGTAGGCTCCATGTCAGTGGATAGCCAGCATCCATGCATGATGGTACAGGTCCTTCCAACACACCTTGGTGTTAATGACGTCATTTTGATGACCTTTGTTCCTGTAAAAAGTCAGGAACAAGTCTGGGTCTGGTAGGCGGTAATGAACTTTCTCCAATAAGAAACGAACCAAAGAGGTTAACAGACGAGAGTGCACATAGAGTTTCCACAGGAAATGGCAGTAGTTACTATTAATAGAGATCAGTGTCTGATAGCATAAGGTTCTACATGGTACTTGAATAGAATATAGATGTTTTCAAGCACATTTACAGACTAGGAAGGAGAGTCTGGTATTTAATTAGATAAACATTTGGCAGTGAACAGTTGTAAATTTCTACCTAAAGAGACAGATTATCATATCTTTTTGCTTTCTGAAAATATATAAAATGCCCATTGATCATCTAAGCATGACCCCCTTCTCAAACAGTCAACTCTACAGTGAATTTCAGAGTAAGGTTACTGTATTGGATGACTATGCAAAAGCACAGATCTCAATCCATTTGTTGGCACTAGACATTTGTTAAATGTTTAAAGTATCAGAGTAAAGCAAAAGACTTTGCACGGGTAAGGGTGTCATTTGTATTTTTTGTTTTTTCTACAGAAATGAGGGCTACATTCCGAGCAATTTCGTCAGTGAAGTTCAGAATGGACTCGAGCAGTTTGAGTAAGAAAGACCATTTGAAACCTTCTCGCCAACAACTGAACACCCTAAGCCAACCCCCAGAAATTTGCTTAGCAGTTCGATGGTGCTCTGAAAACGACGGACAAAGGTTGATTTACATAAGCGCATGGGCAAAGATCTGGGTCCCAGATATTCTGTGTCTAGTTAAAGTCAATGGTTGTTCTGCTAAAAGTTCGTTATGGTCAACGCACATAGAAAAAACACCAACGGACTTCCTCCTGCCCTTACTCACTCTGCAGATGGTACTGCAAGAACATGAACCGCAGCCAAGCAGAGAACCTGCTGAGGAAGGAGGTAAGCGGGCAGCCTGTGGGCTCCCTCATCTCCCACCACGACCCTGTTGTGGTTCTTCAATAAGATGTTCTCGCATATGGTAGTGCAGACATGCATTTTTTCCATTCTCTTCCTGTTTTACATTTGCCAGCTTGCCAGTTTACCGTTTAGCTACTGGCATCAGCTTTGCCACTTTAGCAGTTCGATGGTGCTCTGAAAACGACGGACAAAGGTTGATTTACATAAGCGCATGGGCAAAGATCTGGGTCTGGGCCGTGCTGAGGATCAACTGCATAGGGAATGGAAATATGGATGACTGCTCACAGTAGCAATAATGAGTCATAAACACTACCTTTAATATTAGCTGCCTCTGCTTAGCCTGTCTGAGTTAGTAGCTTCTTGAAACGTGTGTGTTTGTGACTTAAGCTGTGTCCCAATGCAGAGGCTGCAGCCTTCTACGGCTGCATTCAAAGACCAAATGCGTCACAGCAACATGACTGTCCCTTTTCAAAGGTTCCTTCAAATGCAGCTTAGAAATGCTTCCTTCTTTTCCCAGGCTACTAAGAATCCACCCAATGGATCCTTCATGGCCCAATCTTTCCCAGGTTTCACAGTGCAGATTTACAAAGACTACATAGATACAGCCCCTGAATTGGGACACAGCCATAGGTCTGCAGGAGCAGTAAATGCACATGCAGGTTAACTGAGGATCACCATCTCACATCAGTCGACCCATGACATCATCACACACGTCTGTCACTGACACTGCCCTTAGAGATGCCGTGGATGTGTACATGCCTGCCAAAGCTTCAGGCTGCCTGCACACCATGTTCTTTACATTTGTGCTGCAGAACAAAGATGGCGGCTTTCTGGTACGGGACTCTAGCAAGGCTGGGAAGTACACCGTCTCCGTGTTCAGTAAGGGTGGAGGGTGAGTTCAAAGTTCTGTATGATTGTGTATAAGTATATTAGTGTGTATGAATGGGTATGAGTGTATGAGCATATGAGTGTGTATGAGTATATTAGTGTGTATGAATGGGTATGAGTGTATGAGCATATGAGTGTGTATGAGTATATCAGCGCATGAGTACATATGAGTATGTGAGCGTATGTGTGTACATGTGACCATAGCTTACTGAGAAACCTGAGCCTGCAAAGACATATAAATCTCTTTATGCAAAATCCATATTTGGTTGCTTGCCACTCTGGGGCTAATGAGGTTCTGGTGAACCTGTTTTATCAGTAGATAACAAGTTATCTTTTCTCTGGAACTCTGCCACACGCCATGTTGACACCTGAACTGTCATGTCCTGCTTCTGAAATGTCGCTCTTCTCTCTCTGGCCTTCAAGCGATGCAGCTCCTGCATGCAGACACTACAACATTTGTACAAATCAGCAGGGCCAGTTCTACCTCGCTGAGAGGCACAACTTCGACACGATACCCGATCTCATTAAATACCACCAGCACAACGCCGCAGGTTGGATTCCTTACGGAACCGCTCCTGCATCTCTCTCACCTGGAACTCAAACTATGACAGATAACATCCTTTTGTAATAATAATGTTGGTGACCACATGGCTGTGTGTTCTTGTGTCTATCCAAAGGAATGGTGAGCAGGCTGAAGTATGTTGTGTCAAACAAGACCCAAAATGCTCCGTCTACAGCTGGCCTTGGATATGGTGAGTAAGGCATGGAGCCGGGCTTATGGAAGCCAAATTATCAATGGTCAGAAGGATGGGTGACCCTGCCTGTTGCTTAACTGCGTGATTAGACTCTGAAGAACAGCAAACACAGCATTTGGTGCCTTGAGCTGTAGGGGGCCGTCCTATGCACTGCCTGATCTAAAAGGTTCATCACAAGGTATTGATATTGACACTCCTTTCTTGTTTGCTTCTGCTGACTTCAGGGGTCTGGGAGATTGACCCACGTCACCTGACCTGCATCAAGGACCTAGGCTGCGGGCAGTTCGGGGTGGTGAAGTACGGCAAGTGGCAGGGCCGGCATGATGTGGCCATCAAGATGATCAAGGAGGGCTCCATGTCAGAAGATGACTTCATTGAAGAAGCTAAAGTCATGATGTAAGTGTTGTGCACTCCTTAAGGTGACACGAGAGTGTGTGCGTTTTGGGGGTTATAATTATAGATTTTACAGCATTTTCACAACAAAATATTTAGGGATATTTTGTGATTAAGTTTCTTCCAGGGCCACAAGAGCCCTAACCTGTGAGATCAGGGTGAGGATTTTTGCTGTTATCTACTACGCTATCTGCCTTGACAATGAACCTGACTGGGTGCAGCAACATCATCTCCCAGGATGCTGAAGGTATTCCTCTTTTGTTGGGGTTCCCTTTGCCAGGAAACTCCAGCATACCAACCTGGTGCAGCTGTATGGCGTCTGCACCAAACAGAGACCCATCTACATCGTCACCGAATTCCTTTCCAATGGCTGCTTGCTGACCTACCTCCGTGAAGTCATGACCCCACATCCCATCCAGCTGCTGGAGATGTGCAAGGATGTGAGCGAGGGCATGGCCTACCTGGAGTCGCTGCAGTACCTCCACAGGGACCTGGTGAGAGCCATAATGAAGCTTGTAGCTTTAGGCTTCGTCTTGCAAATCAGTGGCTCAGCTTTGAACCCTTTTAGGTTTATAGCCAAGGTTCATTATTTGCTTCCCATAGGCTGATGATGCTTCTGTGAGCCCTTTTAAATATTTCTGCTCTGTTTTCAGGCAGCCAGAAATTGCTTGGTGGATGGAAATGGAACAGTAAAAGTCACTGACTTTGGATTATCAAGGTATGGCCTTTCCTGAAAAAAAAATAAAAATGAATATGCCGCTGTACCAGACTCAAACATCTTGGCAGGAATCCTGGGAATAACCCTGATGGAATCTTCCCAATCCCACTCTGCACCCATCCCTCCTCTGCTGTTTCCAGGTACGTCCTGGACGATGAGTACACTAGCTCTGAGGGCTCCAAGTTCCCTGTCCGTTGGTCACCACCCGAAGTCCTCCTCTACTGCAAATTCAGCAGCAAGTCTGACGTCTGGGCATTTGGTAAGTGTCTGTTTGGTGTTAAACCGGGCTGCTTTGATAACACCCGGAAAATTTTGGAATGCCAGAATTCCTTAATATGGTCAAATTATTTCTGAGCAACAGATTTTTTTCACAAAAGACTGATATAAATTACAAGATTGCTTTTTTCTTCCAAAATCCAATCTAATTTCACAGTAGGACTTAAATCAGGTATGGAGCCCGTAAAGGGACATCGAAAGAAAAAAAAAATTATGGTAGAAAAAAATTATATTAACATTAAAATAAATAGTCCTTTGGCAAGATCACATAATATTTTTGCATCATCTTATAAAACTTCAGCATTATCTCACAAATATTTTTGCAAGATCTCGCAATACTTTTCTGTTACCTCACAATGCATACTGTATTTATTCATAATTGCACTGTGTGCTGTTAGAGTAGAATAAATGTACTATAGAACTAAAAGACGTGGACATATCCAGTAAAGTGTGCTTTCAGCAAAAGACTGTGGGGGACCATGCACACCATTTCATTTTCAGATTATGTATTTTTTATGCATATTTATTATTAAATGCACCAAAAATTACAGCATCATGGGGGCACGGTTCAGCCCTGCTGAAGATTAACTGAACAAATGTACCTGGTTTTTGCAATGCTGCTTGAGCCCACTAAAGACATGTTTTGTTTGCTTGTGTTTTACCTCACTAGGGGTTCTTATGTGGGAAATCTATACCCTGGGTAAGATGCCCTATGAACGCCTTAATAACACAGAGATAGTACAGAAACTCTCCAGTGGGCTTCGTCTCTATCGCCCCCAACTGGCTAATGAGAGAGTGTACAGCATTATGGCAGCCTGTTGGAATGAGGTCTGTGATTTTAATAATTTCTCCCTTACTTGTGTAAGTCACTGTCAGTCATTCATAGAACCACAGATCGAATCCATCCTTGTTTGACTGTGTCATGTTCCTGACTTGTGTCCTCTTTCAGAAACCGGAAGATCGTCCACCTTTTCAAGAACTTGTGTCCATTATTCAGGACTTGCTATATGACCTCCAGTAGCCAGGAATTTCCAAGCATCATCCTCATCAGTCTAGGCGCTATCATCTGTCGACACCTAGCAGAGTCATCTACCGAAGTGTCCATCCTACCCAGAGTGAGAGAGACGCATAGCAACACTGTAAAGCCAGAAAACTCCCTGTCAATGTGACTACTGTGTGATGTTTGACTGAATGTTGCTAGGGTAGATACAGCCTGTTTAACTAGGTTTTCATCGTTCAGGAAGTTTTATGCTTGTTAAAACACCACAAACTGAGGCTGTGTTTGGAATGTCCCCTATATCGTGATCGATTCGGCCAATTTGTAGTGCTGTTCAAATTCTCAACTCTACATATCATTCACTATTATTGTGCACTATAAAGTCATCGCAAGGCACACCAAAATCCAGTGCATTGAAGCTGTACCCTACATTGGTTGACTTAGACCATCATGCATTACGGGCTGTCATGTGAGTGTCGGAACCAGATTGGAAAAACTTAGCTACACCACACAGATCGCTACCTAATAGCACCACAGTCTGAACCATGACCATTAGCCACTGTTAAGTAGCTCACTTATGAAATACTTGCACATGAGCTATAACAACAGTGGCAGAGCTACTGCTGCTTAAAAAACAAATATTTTGATGTATTTCACTGCTTTGCATGAGTAATGTTAATTTACAATTAATACAGTATACTGAAGATTAGACTACAATACCATAGTTACAACTGCAGTCCCCACAATGCTTGCATAAGTGGTTACAGTACAGACAAGTATGCTGTAAATAAAGCTGTGTACACATATTTCTGTTTAAGTTTTATTTATATTTCAGAATTGTTAAGATGTATGTCAATTAAAATGTTTACTTACTGAAATAGCAACATTGATTTCTGCGTTCTGGCGTTTAAGCAACAGAGATAAAAATTACGAATATCCGTCACATGTTATCTGGCAGCATAACATCCGCCTAGTGTCCAAAATATGTCTGCCCTTATCCCCTAGGGAGTGTCCTACATAGAAAACACTATACAGTGAGTGAGTGAACAAGTGGACATTGCAAACATGGCCTGAGAGTGGAATGTGGCTTTAAAGTCTGCCTGGTGGGAGGGATGACTGTGCGTTGTCAGTCACATGATGGAATAACCTACTTCTCATTGGTTACTTTAGTTCCCATTAGGGTAAACCAGCCAGTGATCATCAGCACGTTGAAATCTGACACACTTCGGTTTCAAAGCCTCATTTCTATGACCACTGCCATAACCTCTATTAATAAAAACAACAACAATTACTGCGCTTCTGCCGCAAGGAAGCCATGGCCAACACTCAAACCCAAATCTAAAGCAGGCAATGACCCAAGGCACACCACTTACGGCCTATGGCCCTTCGCAAGGCTCCTTGCATTGCTACCCAATAACAGTAATATCAAATGGAATACTTGTGTGAATGGAGAGCCGTTCCATTGTTAATTTTAGTAGGGGTCGTGGAAATTATATAGGAAAAGCTCATGTCACTTGAGGATATTTATTCAAATACGAGTCTTTAAACAGATAGTGTGAATTTTTGAGTTTTCTGTTACATAGGGCTGTCGCGGTTAGGAAATTTCCCTTGCGGTTTTTATGGGTGGCTCAATAGCGCGGTATGCGGTATTACCGCCGTTTAAAAATAAATAAATAAATAAATAAATAAATAATCTTGATTTTACTGCATACAAAGCTCTATTGCTAAGTTATGTAGCATATACTGTATTGTTGCTTTTTAACTGACAGAGAGACAAAACATTTTTTGTTTATTTTTTTAATGCCAAACAGCAATAAGAACATGCCTTTTCCAATTTAAAAAATGAAATCAAATCATTCTAAAGTAGGCTAACAATAAACAAACAATAAGAAATTATTTTTTCCAATTTGAAAAACGAAAAAAGGTTTCTCCACTGTATTGAATGGAACCATCTCCTCAACTAGATACTGTGTAACAGCGGCTGTAAGACATTTATACCGGTTACTTTCACGGTTGTATTTGACCGATTTCGCAAAGGCTTCAGCTACTCCTAACTGTCGGCTAGTACCGGTGTTCCGGGCAATTCAGTTTCCCTATGTTTCCCCTGTCGCGCGCTGATTTGTACACGGTTTCGCTGTTGTTTTCATGTCTTTTTACGAAGCTCTTGAGGTAAACAAGCCACATATTTTAAAACATCACATGTTTTTTGTTTTTACTGATAATAAATGAAAGTATTTAATTCGCTGGATAGAGATATTTCTTGATGAAAACGGTATAGTATTGCTTATAAGACTATATTATGCGTGACGATCTACTGTATTCGCATGTAATAATGTACTTGAGTGATTTTCAGACATTTCACATACCTCTTTGCTTTAATATTAGGGGAAACATTATTTCCCGATAGACAGGGGAAACATAGGGAAACCGAATTGCCCGGAACACCTGTCTCAGCTGTTCTTTTTGATGTTGCTCCGCGACCTGATGCTGGAAGAGGCAGCTGCGCTTCAATGGCTGGATGACAGTTAGCGAGATGACACCGCAAATTAGATGTATTGCCGCGTGTCACAGGGACCTTTTTGCCACAAATTTTGCAAATCGGTTCATCTAAATTTGCCGGCTCACCCTTTTCATTGGGTTGAAAGCCGAAATGTTCCCAAACTGGCGACGTGACATTAGGTTTTGGGACGAGAGCGTTTCAGTATTCAAAATCAACGAAACCCCGGATATTAACAGTTCGCGGGAAAATGACACTCGTAACACTCTGGTATCATTATTAATTTATTTAACATTCAATACAGGTGATGAATTGTAAAACAATAAGGCCACAGCCTCATGAAGAAGAAGAAAAAAATAATTAACCCTGTCCCTGCGGTTGCCGCGGTTTCTGCGGTTGCTTTCCTTCCTCTGCGGTTGGCTTGTCAATAGCGCGGTATTACAATATTGCGGTTATCGCGACAGCCCTACTGTTACATAGTATCAAAATCCCCTTATAGATGAGTGAAATGCAGCTTTAGTTGCCATTTGCACAAGTGTGTTGGAATGCTTCTTTTTGCATAGCCCATCATGCACTCCTTTGAGACATACATACACCGATCAGCTGTAATATTAAAACACCTGCCTGCACCTTATTGTGTAGGTCCCCCGCATGCTGCAAAAACAGTTCTGATCCGAGGCATGGACTCCACAAGACCTCTGAAGGTGTCCAGTGGTATCTGGCACTGAGAAATTAGCAGCAGATCTTGAAGCCCTGTAAGTTGTGAGGTGGGGCTCCCATGGACCAGACTTGTCCAGCAGGTCCCACAGATGCCAGATTTGATTGAGATCTGGGGAATTTGGAGGCCAAGTCAACACATCAAACTATTTTTCATATTCCTTAAACCATTCCTGAACTAATTTTGCAGTACACCAGGCCGCATTAGCCTTGGCTGCCCATGATCACCAACTGGCCCTCCGTGGATCACTTTTGGTAGGTACTGACCACTGCATACTGGGAACACCCCACAAGATCTGCCACTTTGGAATTGATCTGACCCAGTCATCTAGCCATCACGATTCGGGCCTTGTCAAAGTCGCTCAGATCCTTACGCTTCCCAATCTTTCCTGCTTCCAACACGTCAACTTTAAGAACTGACTGTTCACTTGCCAAATATAAGGGCACCCTTGACAGGTGCCATTGTAACAACATAACCAAAATGTCATTCACTTCACCTGTCAATGATTTTAATGTTATGGCTGATCAGTGTGTATGCTGTTGAGGGCCAAGCTTGGGACCCGAGTGCCGGGTCACCTGTCCATCCAGCACCCCTGAAGCATTTTTCAGGGGGTTAAGTGCCCAGCAGACATGTGACTATTCTTCCAATCTTCCAATCACAGGCAGTTGCATAACCCAATGAACCACACACTGTGTTGTTATTGGGCAGTGATGGGTGTGGTGTGGTTAACTGAATGAAGATATGAGTTCATGAACTCTCCTCATTGTATATGGTCTTAAAAAAACAATATTTAACCTAGAGTAACAGTGGTTCTGTAGGAACTAATTTTGTCTGAACCTCTGCACCGTCAACTGATGTGGCGCCTGATTAAGGATTGAATTGTCTGGCATGAATCTGTGCACTCTTCACATCACAATGGATTGTCTGGGATGAGTCTGTGCACTGTTCACATCACACTGGACTGTCTAGGATCAGTCTGTTCATTCTTCACATCACACCGGATCATCTGGGATAAGGTTGTGCACTCTTCATATGCCCTTCAGAATAATATGAAATGCAGATGGGAGGCTGACCCCTACTGAAAGGGTGTGTGGATATGGATATCACCAGCAGTTAAGAGGGCATAGGATGATGGGATGGTGATCACTGGGTGTTTGTAAAGACTTCTGCTTCTAGCTAGAATAAGTTAATTCTGTTGGAGTTGTCTGTCAAATCTACTTGTTTTTAACTTTCCATAATAAATAATATTGTCAATAAAATAATAATAATAAAATGACCATTCTTCCTTCTTTGTCTACTTCCTCTTTTGTAGAAGACTAAACACTTCGAAGTTGCTCTGCTCCACAGCACTAAGAATAAATTTCCTCTGCATAAAGCTGAACCATTTCTGTGTCTTTCTGAAAATCTGTTCCAGTGCTATTGTGAAGAGATTCAAATGTGGCTCAGTATTGTATCTGCACTATTAATGAATGAATGTGGTTTTCTTCCAGAAACATTCCAGTAAATACTTTTGGTTGAATGCTTTATTCTGTAATGAAGTGCAACAGTAAACTGATTAAGCACAATGTGAGTATTCTTGCATTTCAATACACTGCCTGAACATTTTAACTTATCCCTGATTTATCATTATTATTATT